ATGCATCAGCTAACATCACTCCTTCACATCTGTTCAGCCTGTTGGGGTTCACCCATATACGCAAAGCTTCTGCAGTCAGTCTTTCTTTAAACGAACCAGAATCTTTCTGTAGTACTTTAGTCCCATCAAAGTCGATTTTGTGTCCCGTTTCTATCGAATGCAGTGCAATCGCTGATCTGTTTTTCTTGCTTCTTTAAATCTGCAGAGGTCTTTGGGACCACTTTTAGACATTGTTTATGCTCTTTCACTCTTATATTTACCTGTCTGGAAGTTTCTCCTACATATATGGCGTCACAGTCCCCACAATTGATCTGGTACATACAATTCTGTTGGTTTTCTTCGTCTATTTTATCCTTAACCTTCACCAGTGATGAGCGTAAGGTGTTAGTTGCACGAAAATATACTCTTATGTTATTTCGTTTGAATATTTGAACTCTTCCGCAGTGCACATGCACAACGCAGAACCTACAGGTTACGAGGTCAGTCCATTGACCACTGATTTTAGATCTTTACTTGTTTATAATATGGAAGGGTTGTACACACACACATACAGTTCTTTGGTGGTACAGATTTTCTTCTTTACCTATCTAACTATTTAGTTATTTAACAATATGCAAATAGTGTATGTGTTTAGCTACGCTTAGTTAGGTATTTCAGAACATGTGACAAAATTGTTGAATTATGTAAATCCCTACTGTCATAGGTAAGTTATTTTCATTATTCTTAAACAGTGGTGTATCAATGAAGAATTTCGCATCACTTGCTTTTTTAACACTAATGAACATAATATTGCTTACATTAAGCCATTCACATGTAATTATCCTTAATGGAAAATAAATAAAATGTTGAACTGTGTACTTTTCTTTAGTTTGTAGAGATAAAATTGTTAAGAAAATTACACCCAAAACTATCGTGTTGATTGTTGTGTAAAGCTTTTATGGGCTGTTACATAACTTCTGCTTAACTATCCCTTAGCGTTGTTTTCTTTCAGCTTTTTCTTATATCTTGGTCATCATTGTTAGAGATGAATAAATATATATAGTAAACAATCTGATGCTCACTAGGGACTTGTTACAGGACGGACGGAGTTTCCTGGATTTCTAGTGAGAAGTCGTGACCAGTGAGGTCCATCCAGTCAAGTGTGAGGATGGATGTTCCACTGATGACATTGGTTGGTTGTCGCGCTAAATCACGAATTGGTAGGAGTTAGAATTCATGGGTTGGCCACTGAATTGGGTCCCAGTGACTGAATGATGTACGAACTTGCCTGTAACCGGAAGGTCGTGCGTTCGAGCCCTGGAGGTGGATGCGTACTGACGATGATTCCCGAACTAGGATGAAACAGCTGTCCAGTACTCCCTGGTTTTCAATGGTTCTCTAACTGATATCAATCCATGATCTAATCCTTACCAACCAAACTCTTGAAAATATGGATCACCTTGACCTGGGATTTCCTTACTCCCTGATTCTCACTAGTGACTGTCTACAGGACAAAGTTGTCTGAACCAGTGGAGTCCAGCAGGTCGCGTATGAGAACAAATACTTGCCGTTGACATTAACTGGAGAATTAACAGAACTTAGAATTCATGAGCCACAGCATCCTGGACCAAGTGCGCGAATGACCAACAAGCTTGGCTTCATAATCCGAATGTTCTGGCTTCAATCTCTGATGGGGTCCTGAGTGCGTACTGACGAAGAGTCCCAAACTAGAGTGAAACAGCCCTCCAGTACTTCCTAGTTCTCAATAGTTCTCTAAATGACATGTCTATCCCTGATTGAACTTGAAATAAATCAAATCTCTACAAACAGACTCTTGAAAAATTCTCTGAATAGGCAACTTCCAAACTGTATAACAAAACACCGGGAACTTACTATTTTACTTTATGGGGATTATAGAAATGTGTATCCATTACTTCTTAAAGTTTGTAAATGGCTTACGTGTAGTGAGTGCATTATGGTATACACAAGCACAATTTGTAATATTATCACTAGTTTCCATAATCACAACAAAATGTTTAGGAAAGTATGATGACAATTTTATTGATGTCACATCCCACTGTATTTACCAACTTGAATGTAAGTGTGGCCACACATACATAGGGAGGACTCATAGATCTCTGCAAGTAAGGGCTTCAGAAGCAAACAGAATCCCCAGAATCCATTAATGTTGAGAACAGGAGACCTAGCTCCTCTATTGCGAAACATATTATTGAAACAGGACATAAAATTGATGGTTACACGTCTTTTAAACCTATCTATAGAATGTGTTTGGGACGTATCCTAAAGTTTGGCGAAGCCCTAGCTGGCAATTAGGAAGTTTAAACCACCTTTATGCGTTCAAAGCAACAATTCGTCATCACACTAAACCTTCCTTGGTAAACTTTGTTTTGATACCAGCCAAGGTAGATGTACTATTACCTCTGTTATTTGGTTTAGTGATCTTCATTGTTATTTTGACCTTTTAACTTGACCTAAATTTATTTTCTCACCTCTTAACTCTTTATTAATTTCATGTATATTCCTGTGACAAGTCTGTGTGTGATCAGATTGTTCGAAATGTGTTGCTCGAATACATTACACGATTCAGACAAATTACTTCTTCTTATTGCTTTGTCTAAATTCATAAAGGGACTAATTGTTTTAGATTTTATTTCGGTTGACGGCGGTCTGCTTGAATCTCTGGGCTACCCAAACTTTCATCCAACCCAATGCATCATATTTTCACTAATTCTTATTCTCTTAACCATACAATTATGTCCTTAAGTCCAAATGTGTACTCAAGACACATGTTTAATTGCCTTTCAAACTATGGGTGCATATTTCTAGGAGATGAATGGAAAAATATTGTGAGAGGTTAGTTTATGCTTCTGAATGAACAACATTGCGTCACATGATCTACTATAGATTGCTATTTACTTGATGATCCTAGATGAAAAGGAAATATTATGTTGTAAATTTCACTGAGGATTCTGTACATTTGTTTTTGATTACAGCTTGATTCCACACCGTATCTTTGGTACAGGTATGGAATTTTCAGCATGTGATATCGGTAGCCCGAATTTTGCAGGCCGACCATAGACATCAGGTGTGCGTCGGCAAGGGATCGAACCTCGGACCATGTGCATGGTCGGCGAGAGTCCTAACCACTGTACCACCGACGCACAGACATTGCAGCGGTAGGTAATTCCCCAGAATTATTGACTACAGCACTCATCACTGAACATTGGAGGCTGACCCTTATTGTTTTAGTCTTTTTGTTTAGGTGAAGGCTTACAGTCAAACATTCACGCCATTTTGTACTCCGTCGTGTCACGTTGTTCGTTCGTTCGTGTACGATCTCTAGCTAGTTAAGCAATCATCTCGCACTCCGATTTGGTCCGGAAATATAATTCGTAATTTGGACGGTCAATTCTGGTGTTTTGCTTTGCCTTTGGTCTACGCGGAGCGAATACTATAGATGTTGTGGGTCTAAGATCTTGCGTTAGTATACTTCGTACTATCCGTGAACGTCAACACCCTTAGCTTCTGTCCAGAATAAAGCTATTTTTATTCTATTCTTCCTTTTATGTTCGGCTAACGCTGATAATAAGCGTAACCTTTTATTCAGTATCGATTACCTTAATTGTGTAGTCAAATTCATATTTCATTGTGACTTGGTTGTAAATAAAGTTGAGATGAGAACTTGAGTTAGTGTAGAATTCCAACCAATCGCCAACAGATCATGAAATGCTTGTTGCCCATGATTTAATACTTAGTTATATTACTTAGGCTACTTCCTTCACTTATCCAGGAAGCATTGTTTCACCCACAGGCGGAATGGATGAAGGTGTCAAAGCCAGCCAGCTAGAATCAGAAAGACTAGATACGCCTTCATCAACCTGAAACCAGTTTGGAAATCTTCTGCACTGCACAGCCATAAAGAACAAGATTCGGATTTTCAACACAAATGTGAAGTCAGTTAGTTTTGCGTGTCTTTTGTCTCCATGATTTGAGTTGAATGCACTACACTGTTACTCAACATCTTATTAGTTACTCATCATCCATATGTCCAATTCTTGTATTTATTACGAAACTCCTTTTTCCATTGTCACCAAGCATTAATTTTTCGTTTTGTTGAAAACTGAACCTTCTGTGTATAAGTTGTGTATTAGTGTACATTAATTTTTGGAATCTTCTATTAGCTGACATCATGTCACATTTGTGAGTATGTTAAAATTACTCTGTGCATAAACTTAACTAATTTCTCGGCAAAGTTAAACTTTAAACACCAGTAAGTACCACCAAAGTACAAATGACCTTAAACGCACCAACCACACATGATAAAGGCGATTTTGCGTATTAAATACATATATTCACGAAAATAATGAATTAAAAGGCACGAAACTGTTACACGGGACACCTTTATTGAACGTGTGACAAACCTCTCAGCTTTGGACTGGAGTATCAACAGAGTAATTAAACCATATTCTATGCATATAATTAATTATCTAGGTCTTCTAACCCTAACAATGACAATATCCCCAAACAAACCCTAATCTAACTCAAACCAACCATAATATCGCCTTTATTAGATTAACCTATCCCTTACCTGTACTCAGTTTATATCTTAACTTAGTCTTTCCCAAACCTAACCTAGAACTTACCAGATATCTTATGTCATAACATAACGCTCTGTTAAACATATTTTTTTCCATGATTGAAATATTATTTACCAGGTCTCACTAACTTCCCCATTGAGCATTCCAAAGTTATTCGTGCTGTCCCACTCCAGTGGTGAAACTTACAGGTGCTTAAAGTTTTTTAACTTGGCCAATTTCTCTAGCCTCTAATCAGCTGATAAGGAGGCAACAAAACCAACGATGGTAACATCTTATCCTGGACAAACTGTCGTTTTTACCTTATTTCGAATTCATAAAGGAGAATAAGTGTACGATGAAGTATTAGCATTACTACTTAAATAATTTACTGATAGTATAGAAATACAGCAAAAATTGAAGTATATTGTATCTTTTTTTCACTTTTTTCTCTAAAAATTATAAGAATCAAAATGAAATCACTACAACAAAAAAGACAAACATAAAGGAACTGATTCTGTTAAGAGGAAACTATTCAGAGGTATCAGTTAGCAAATAAGACATAGAAACTGTCCAAATGTATAGAAGAAAGGAAGTAATTTTGTTGGGAAGCTATGGGATGTAGGTATCTGATTTCATGTGGATGTGGAACTGCTACGCTTTTTTCATTTAGCAGACTGAATGACTGAATCAATCACAGGCCAGAGTATGCAGGTATACAACAGTATGAATTATAATCACAAAGTTAGTACTACTGGATTCATTCTTGAAAGCAATTAAATAATTTGAAGGAAAGTCAACCAGCCAACTGATCAACCAAATAAGGCGACTGCATGAGCGTGTACAAGACAGAAAGGCTTTTCATCTCTAGCGTGAAATGGCTTACCTTCAAGTGGTGTTTGACATGCAGCACAACTGAAACACCTTGCATGATACTGTTTCCCACATGCTTCAATAAAACGATCAATCTCTGAAATCGGCTGCTTGCATTTAGCACATTCTCCTTCGTGCAGTTTTTTCCAATGTTCTTCACACAGTACACGATCCATATCTTCTACATGAAATATATTATCTAATGGTTTTTTACAATGATAACATGTAAAACAATTTGGATGCCATGTTTGATTCATGGCTTTAATAATTTTTCCAATAATCGGTTGATGACATTTTCCACAACGACAGGCGATATGCTCTTTGAAATCACGTTCACAGTACAACTTTCCATTCTGTTCAGCAAAAAAACATTCTGCATTCAACGGAGCATGACAATGTGCGCATACAAAGTGATTAGGACAGTAACAATGATCATTCGTGTCAATAAATGGTCCATGTATTTGTTGTTGACATACGCGGCACACAGGACACAGTTTCAAGTCTTTTGAGCGTAGAATTCCTTTTCTCAGTAAAGGTGGCGATTGATTCAAGCGGTGATTCGGCTTAGAGTTACTTTGCATATTTGCCACTGCTGAATTAGGCGTACTATATGTTGATAGACTATACAATGATGAAAAGGATGGCTTTATGCTTACAACATCTGGTGATCTATAAACTGGTGATGTACAAGTTATATTGATTTTCTCAGTCGATACACGGTCGTATATTGTAGTTGAGTTAGAATCGCTTACTGTAATATTTATTCTATTGGGTGAATGACATGGTGATATTCTCGGATTTGTACCAATGTGAATAACTGCTTTTGTTGTTTGTAATTCAACTGGTTTATATAAATCAGTACTCATTGGTGATGATCGTATATTCATGTGATGAGTAGGTGTAACATAGCCAGATTTGTTTATCAATCCAGTATCATAAACTTCTATTTCAAGGTCATTACAACAGCGTATTATAGCTTGATGAGCTTGTTGATGAGTCATATGATTTGTTAAATCACGTCCAATGGATAAAACACGCATTCCAGGCCGTAGACCACAAGTTTCTGCTAAACCTCCAGGTGTAACAGCAGAGATATGTAGTGGTTCGCCGAAATCTTGTCCTCCACGTAGTCGGAAACCCCATGGTGTACCAGGATCATCTCTTGAAATGCGTATAAGAAACGACATTGAAAGTGCTAGTTAGTTAGTTGGTTGTTAAAAGTTTAAATAAAGTTCTTCTTTTCCTGATAGAAACAATTCTTTAATTCCTTTGTTTCAATAGATAAACAGTATATGTGTACTTCTGTTTTAGGTGTAATGTTAAACAAGGTCATGCATAGGATTACATATACATTTTGATG